AGACGTCGTCATTTGTGCATGATTTATGTCTGTTATCTACTTCGTTTATTTTATCCGTTTTAAAATGAATGCGTTTGTTTTACCTAAATAGAAAGTTTATATATTACTAGCACCCGTTGAAACTCATATGGTGAATACCTAGGTCGGTGAAATCACTGCAAGTGAATACCTAGGTCGGTGAAACTCGCTGTAAGTGAATACCGGTCGGTAAAACTCCGCTATGTCGTAATGTCTAGGTGACCAGAAATCGTTTGAAGTGAATTTCTATGATCCGGAACAGGACTTAGAATACCATAGTTAGAAAGTATAGTAAGTAATCGTGATAACGATGTTTGAACGTTGGTACCTCTGATTTGTGGTTTACACTTTGGCGATTATCGTTTTAACGCGTAAAAATAATCTTATAATATATTAAAGTATATAAAGATCCAATTCAGACGTTTGGTGGTGATTGCTGTTAAATTTACAGGTGTAATACACCTTGTCCGTAACTTACCTGTGCTTTGTGCATGGAAAATAAATAAATACATTCCGAAAGCTTGGCAATCGAGCAATGCAGGTATCGGTCATCGTCAGTGAATACCGATTACTGTGGGGCAATCGGCTGCGACGGATTGTCGCCTCCTGACGTCGAAACCGTTGTGCTGAGCTGTACGCAAAAAGTTTAAGTCAGATCGGTACTCAATTTTCAAGCGATCACCATTGAAAATCAGTTAAACGCGTTTAAACCTCTCCAGGTAGGCAATCCGACCCGTGGATCGCGGACGATATTGAATAAGGAGATAACCTGTATGGAAAACGCATGTCAAACGTTAGCGAGTTGAAGATCAAAAACTATACATATTCTTTTGATATTTATAGATAGTTAAATATCGAAAAAGAAATATTATGCGCTTTCTTGATGACAAAATATTTAAAATCAAAAATTATACTGTTTTCCTGTATCTTTCAAATGCCAAGCAACTGAAGGCTAAACATATAAAATAATAGTGAATTCACCGTCAAAACCGAGTGAAACAATATCGTCATCAATGAATGTTCTCAGTATAATATATTTGCATATCACATAATAATAACGCATCTAGATTGTGCAGACTATTGTAATAACTATAATTGGTTATTACTTATTATTTTTAGTAAGTATATAAATATAATAATCTATCTTTAATCTATTTTAAAATGAATAATTGAATACTATTGTGTGATTTAATGTCGTGTAAGAGTATATTGTAATACAATATGTTTGACATCAATCGAGCAATATAAAATTAAATGTGTGAGATCAAAATCATTTTAAAATTTGAAAATATGTTATGGTAGTAGTGAGGGTGGATATCAGCAGCAGCAATTAATAACGATCAGTGTCGAAAAATGCAAAAATTCGTTATACGGTTCTTATGGAGCCGCCCGAACATCGCCGGATCAGGTTCGAACTGCCTACCAACGTCAGGGAACCTATCTAACACCTCTCGACTACAGATTGAGTTGTGAACCACGACCGAATCTCGGTACTAACCATTTTAAAGTGCGACGAATACCGCAGTATACGTCGTTTAAGCGATACGATTTTACGATTCAGTGCAAAACAATAATCGCACGTTTATTGTCGTTTAGGCGTTCCGGTATTCATTACATTGTTAATCGTGTACGTCTAACGACGTACCAGTTTATTACCACATATACACATCTCGATATCGCCCCAAACGTACGCGATCAAAGCATTGGTGACCGGAAACGATTTTGCGATGTTTGTATAATACATATAAGGATCTCGTCATATCTGACGGCCGTCATCGGCGAACGCACGTTTCTTTTGTACGCAATCACGTATTTTATGCGCTGTCGAGACGATGAGGTCGCGGAGGCGTCCGAGGCGAACACCGAAAACAAAGCCTTGCTGTTCGTGGGGATAAACGATTTATCGTATATTAAAAACGTCAAGTACATGCGGCCGACGACACGATAAACCGGAGAACGCGCGCGTTTCGGACGCAGCGGCGACGACCGCGGGCGAATTCGGGGACGCATTTCACGAGGACGTTCCGCGCAAATCGGAAAACGCGCGGACGCGAAAAACGAAATGATTCGGGCGGAGAAAACGGGCGTGATCCCGTCTCCGCGACGGACGCAGCCGAGGTAGGCTCGAACGAAAACGCGGACGGGAGATAACGATAACGATAACGGCGCGCGCGAGATATCAGATAAGAAAGACGATGGAAAAATCAGATTTTCGATTGGCCAGTACATAAACCGAGCACTCGGCGAAAATCCCGGAAGCTCGTTTGGTTTTATATTATAAGAAGAAGACTATGATAACTGGAACGCTCACAGCCCGCCATGATAATGCGTGAAACCAGCGACGGTCTGTTAGAAAGAGATAGCAAAATAATATAGGTGTGTCTATCTCTGTCTTTATTGATAATACGCCATCTCCTTAATAATATCATATATACTTTTAAATTTAAATGCTTACCGGCACACTTAAGGTATTTAGCTTTGAGTCTGTTTTTATAGTTTTGGAACTGCGTACCTACTACAATGGTTAATTTTGTAATGCTTACATTGTACTAGTAGCAGTGATATTCAAAGTGATTTAATATTTCATAGGTATTAATGTTAATTGTGCTTGATGATTATTTCATAATTTATTTACTGTTACTGTAATTTATTATTTAATAAATAAATAATCTTACTTTGTATTTTATCGTCCAAGATTTCCACTTAATGACAATGAAAGGCTCAAAATGGATACATGTCAGACGAACAAATTTCAAACCCAACCAAATTCATTTTATGCAGTTCATTTTACTGAAAGGATTATAATAGAGCAGTTGTAAGTGGGAATTGGTTTTAAAAATGTGCTGTGCCAACTATCTTTGAATTCCCAGATCATTTAATGCCAAGGTGAAAGAAAGGCGAGTTTTACAACGATCTGTTGAAATTCAAGTAAGTTGTTTATAATATAACAAACATGTTTTATATAATTTTAATACTATATAAATCATAATCAATGTCTCTTCGCAGGAAAAATTTTTTGTCGGATCCATATCCGTGACGTCACTGTTATCTATGCATGTCTCTGTGATACTATTCTGTATTATCAGCAATACAATAATATTGATACCAATATTGAATGTAATAAGATAAAGATTCGTCGTCTTTTTAATAATTTTTTTTATAATTTTAAATAATTTATTAATTAATTACTAAAATGTTTAAATGTGAAGTTTGCGATTCAAATTATAATTCTAAATCCGGTTTAAATAAGCACCATAGGATTAAACATATAAATATACCTAAAAAAAAACCTGTTAAAAAGAACATATATTTTTGTAATAGCTGTGAAGATTCATTTGATTTAAAGGCAAATTTAATTAAACATGTCAGAACTCATTTAAATGATCAGCGATTAAATATGATATGTTCATTTGAAAATTGTACCAAATCATTTTTTACCATGACTGGATTAATTGAACATTTGAAATCACATAATATTAATGTTGAGTCAAATTTGTTAAATTTTAATACTATAGAAGGTAAGTGTTTAGAGACAATACAATAAGTAATTTTATAATTACATTTTCAGTTATCAATTACTAGTTATTTTACTAACATCATGTGTTTTAGTGTTTTATAGGAAATTTTTTTTTGATGAATTTCTCTGTGATTTGGCTGAAGGTATTAGTTTTAATATTATTGAAGATTTAAATGTAAGTTGAGTACATAATTTTTCATACACAGAGTTCTCAATTACCACTGGTAAATATCGTTCATGTAATATGTTTGTTCTGTATTAATATTATTTATTTGTTATAGGAGATTTATTTTCCCTCAGGGGAAGCACTTTACAGTGTTACGGGTATGGCGAACCCGGGGCCCCGAGCCTCACACTGACTTTAATTAGTTGGTGTGGACTGGTCCTCCAGGTTGGGGGTTTAGCGGCGGGCTAACAACCCGTCCTTATAAAAAATACTAATGTTATGAAACCAATACAATTCATGCCTCGGACTCATATTTTGGATACGACTCGGAAACGGACCGGACAACTGGAATACAGGATTGGGACATGGAATATTAGATCACTTTATAAACCAGGCGCACTTAAGTCTATAAGTGATGCGGTGAAGAAATACAAGAACGTTCAAATAGTGGCGCTGCAGGAGGTCAGGTGGCCAGGGGAAGGAGACATGAGAACCAATGGAATGACATTATTCTATAGTGGACCATCCAATGGAAAGCATGAGAATGGAGTGGGTTTTTTAGTAAATGACCAGTTGTTACCTTCTATAAAGAAATTTACTCCAGTAAATGATCGCATCTGTCATATTCGTATAGCCGGTAAACAATATGACATTATACTGATATGTGTATACTCACCCACAGAAACGGGTGAAGAAGACCTGAAGGATATGTTTTATGATTAATTAGAAAGAGTGTACAATGGTCTATCAGGACACTGTATAAAAATTATATTAGGGGACTTTAACTCACAAGTTGGGCGAGAAACG